CCCTAGCTATCCTGGAACTAGCTCTGTAGACCAGGCTGGCCTCAAACTCACAGAGATCTGTCTGCCTCTGCCTTCTGAGTGCTGTGATTAAAGGCATGTGTAACCGCCTCCCAACTATGATGCCATTTTTATAGCTCAGGTAGATTCTCAGTTTTAGATCTTGGTCTTAGGTACTATTTCTGGGTTCTTAGTGAATTCCATGAGATAGAAGAGATGTGTAGGAAGACTTTTCTTTCCCATCTTTCAGTTCCCAAATAACCGACACAGAGACTTAATATTAATTATAAATGCTTTGCCAATAGCTCAAAGTTACTACTAACCAGCTCTTACAACTTAAATTAACCCATTTCTATTACTCTATGTGCTCCCCCAAGGCTCGTGGCTTTTACCTCTCCAGCAGGTCCTGTTTCCTTTCTGTCTGGTTGGTAATTTCTCTGAATCTGCTCCTCTTCCTCAGCATTCTCTCTTCCCAAAAAATTCTGCCTAGCTTTTGGCCAGTCAGCTTTCTATTAATGAGAGCAACACATTTTCACAATGTACAGAGGATTATTCCACAGCAAGGATGGTTTGTTTTAAGGATTTAAGAGTGTTTGGGAAGCTGGGCCATGGTGGTGCATGCCTTTAATCCAGCAGTCAGGAAACAGAAGCAGGCAAATCTCTGAGTTTGAGGCTAGCCTGGTCTACAGAGCAAGTTCCAGGACAGCCAAGGCTATACAGAGAATTCCTGTCTCAAAAAATCAATGAAAAAAAAAAGTGTTTAGGGACCTAGCATGGTTAAGCAGTGTTCTGGAGGCTGAGACAGATTTCTGAGTTCCAGTTCAACCTAGTCTATAAAGTAGGTTTCTGGCCAGTTGGCCATAATGAGAACCTATCTATAAAAACAAAGTTTGGGGGCTGGGATTGTAGCTCTAGTTGGTAGATTACTTTTCTAATATGCACAAAGTCCTGAGTTTGATTTCTGGTACTGCATAAGCCAGGTGTGGTGGCACATGATTGGAATCCCAGCATTTTAGAGTAGAGCCAAGGGATAAGAAGCTCAAGGTCATCCTCAGCTACAATAGCAAGTTTAAGACCAGCCTGGGACACATGAGACCTTGTTAGAAAATAAAGAAATCATACTTCAGGTTTATTTTAGTTTAACGGTAGAAAGCCTACTTGGTGTATGAGAGGCCCTGGGTTGGATTCCCCAGCCCCGGCGGGTGCTATGAAGATAAAAAGAAGGCGGTCTGGGCTGTGCTGTTCTTCAGGGGCTGCTTCTGTCAGGGCTGTGCTACTCTTCACGCAGCCCTTAGGCCATGCGTGTCAGAGTTGGACTTAGTGAGCCAGCTGCTGGAGCTGGTTTGGAGTTATATGTGGGAGGAGCTGCTTGTTGTTTGCAAGTAGTACTGGGATGGGATAGGGCTGGATTGTCTTCTGCCCAGTTTTCTGCTACTGAAGACCTGGGTGTAGGCCAAGGAGAGCTGTCTAATGATTTCTTGGATTGAGTATTTGAAGATGGACCACTAAACCATGTGGTCCATGGTAATTTCTTCTAGATTGATACTCACATGTGCTGTCATTGATCATCTTTACTTCTAGAACAAGCACCTATAGCCAAAGTATGTAGTCTTCCAGAAGAATGTCTGCTTCCAGAAGAATGGACAACCAAAGTATGCTGTCATTGGTCATTTCTGTTTCCAGATGTAGGAAGCTCTGTTGGGCCTACTAGAAAGGCCCCATGAAGTCAGAAGCACCTGGGGATATCCATTGAGTTTCATGGGTAGCTGTCTTCTAGATGTCTTGTATAGAACCTTGCAGGGTCTGAATGGAATGCTAACAGTCATGTCCTCCATTTTTCCCCACTCAGGTAGAAATATTGCTCTTTCCCACATTAGAGAAAGAGCCAGAGTGAGTTTTGGTGAGAGCCAAATTCATAGAGGAAGATTAAGACCATGATTTTGAGAAATTTACATCCTTAATCTGTATTGCAAACACTTGGATAATATCTTTTAAAAAGTAAAATTGTTGCTTTTTGGTTTTTTGACACAGAGTTTCTCTGAGTAGCCCTGGCTGCTCTGGAACTCACTCTGTAGACCTGGCTGGCCTCAAACTCAGAGATCTTAAAGGCATACACTATCACCCCCAGCTCTGTAACCTCTTTTCTCCTGTTTCAGACTATCAGCTTATGTCTCAATGCTTCTATAGTAGGTTTCATTGTAGGTACCCAAAGAGAACATCAGGTCTGTCTTCCCCAGTCAATGCCCAGTTAGTTAACCAGAAAAGTGATAATTTAAAACATTTAAAAATTGTCACTGGAGGGCTGGAGAGATGGCTCAGCGGTAAGAGCACTGCCTGCGCTTTCAAAGGTCCTGAGTTCAATTCCCAGCAACCACATGGTGGCTCACAACCATCTGTAATGAGACATGGTGCCCTCTTCTGGCCTGCAGGCATACAGACAGACAGAATATTGTATACATAATAAATGAATTAAAAAAATGGTACAGGAGTATAGTTTATATGACACAGATGTCGTCCTTTTAAAGCGTGCAGTGTTTTTACCATATTCACGAGGCTGCGCAGTCATCTTTCTAGTGTGTTTTGTTTGTTCTTTTGATTTTAGGAAAGTGTTTGACTGTGGAGCCTTGGCTTACCTAAAACTCACTGTGTAGACCAGGTTGGCCTCAAACTCACAGAGATCCTCTTGCCTCTGCCTCCTGAGTGCTGGGATTAAAGGCATGGATCACCACCACCCAGCTAATTTTTTTAAATGAATACAATGGCGTATGTTCTTATTGATGTTCTTATTGTTGATTGTTATAAGCATTTCAGAAAAGTCTTCATAAGTATCTAGAATGAGAGGCTATCCTGTTCTGTAAGAAGCAGTATAGCAGGGAACTATTTATGTACCTGGTTTATGTACCAAGAATATATAGATATATTCGTAAATCAGATATGTTGGTTTCTGGACATGGTCATGAAAGAGCTAAGTCTAAAAAGCCAGATGACTCAGATAGGGATGAAGAAGAGGGCCACTGGCAAGTCACTCGCCTAGCATATTTATGGCCTAGGGCTTGATTTCTAGCCTGATAAAACAATTATTTTTTTAAGACAAACAACTTCAGTGATCAATATTATGATTTATTGAGTTGTCTTTACCTGCTGCCCTTAGGCACAGACAGAGTAGTTGATAGCCACTAACCTCCCCATACCACACCCATCTCATCCCCACCTCACCCCCCAAAAAAACCCACATCTGGGTAGTATCTCTCTAGAGTTCCTAGGAAGGGTGAGCACAAAAGTCTAGTAAGCTTCACCTTGCATACTTTTTCAAGACAATCTAATGAGAGTTTACTGGTGGTAAAGTTTAGAAGCAAAACTGTATTGCAGAGAAGATGACATTTCACCTTACAAGGCTGTGTTATGGTAGCTAAGCTGGGAAGACAAAAGCCAGGGGTCTCTGTCCTGCCAGCCAGCTCCCAAACAATGACTTATTATTATGGAAGCTTGTCTTAGCCTAAGCCCCCAACTCACTCTTAAACTTAATCTGCTTCTATTAATCTATGTTCTACCACATATTTTTTTAACCTATTCTCCATTTCTGTATGTCCAACTTGTTTTGTATCTCCTGCATGCCTAAATTCTTCCTCCCAGTTTTCTCTCTGCCGAGAAGTCCCACCTGTACCTCCTGCCTAGCTATTGGCTGTTCAGCTTTTTATTACACCAGTCACACAGTACATCTTCACACAGTGTACAAATAGCCCACAACAAAGCTAGTTTCAGCTAAATAGTGACTTCCATAGTCAGATCCTGTCCTCATGCTCATCCTTCCCCCACAAAAACTCTGTCTTTTAACAGCTCTATTTTTATGTCCTCCCCAGTGGAAATAAGTCTTCATCTCTGATCTCTAAACTATTTTAAGGGGCTAGAGAGTTGGCTTAGCAGTTAAGAGCACTTAGTTTGGTTCTCAACTACCTGGGCAGCTTACAACTACCTGGAACTCCATTTCCAGAATGTTCAATGACCTCTTTTGGCTTCCACAGGTACATGCTCATACATACAGATGGGCGTTAGGGTTAGGGTTAGAGTGGTAGTTTGAATGCAATTGGCGCCTGTAATGTCATGGGGATTGGCGCTATTAGGTATGGCCTTGTTGGAGGAAGTGTGTCATGGGGTGGGAGGGCTTTGATGATTCCTATGCTCAGGCTACTGCCCAGTGTCTCAGTCAACATCCTATTGCCTTCAAGATGTAGGACTCTGAGCTCCAGTACCACATCTGCCTGTGTGCTAGCGTGCTCCCCACCATGATGATAACGGATTAAACCTTTACTGTAAGCGAGTCACCCCAATTAAATGTTTTGTTGTTGTTGTTGTTGTTGTTGTTGTTTTCCTGAGACAGGGTTTCTCTGTAGTTTTGGAACCTGTCTTGGAACTCCATCTGTTCCTCTGTAGACCAGGCTAGCCTCAAACTCAAAGAGATCCACTTGTTTCTGCCTCCTCAGTGCTGGTATTAAAGGCGTGCACCACCAACTCCAAGCAATTATTTTCTTTATAAGAATTGCCATGGTCATGGTATCTTTTTATTTATTTATTTTATTGATTTTATTGAACTCTACATTTTTCTCTGCTCCCCTCCCTGCCTCTCCCCTCCCTTCAGCCCTCTCCCATGGTCCCCATGCTCCCAATTTACTCAGGAGATCTTGTCTTTCTCTACTTCCTAGGTCACAGCAATGAATATTTTAAGACATACATCAACACAAAAATAGATATAAGTAAAATTTTAAAAATAAACATATCTTTAAATATTTTTAATTTACATCTTGTGTGAGGTGAGTTAAGTAATGTTTATAATTTACAATATAAAATGCAGATTAAGTTATTGAAATCTGATGTAAATAAAAATAGGAATATAAGGAAATGACAATATTGCTTTCTTGTAGAGGACAGTTCTTTATGGCATTTAAGGAAGAGTCACATAACTGTGCTTTTTGTCTTTAGTCATGGGACATTTTTTTCCGAAACACCAATGCTGGAGCCCCTCCGGGCACTGCCTACCAGAGTCCTCTTTCCCTGAGTCGAAGCTCCCTGGCTACCATGGCCCATGCACAGTCCCTGGTGGAGGCACAACCTAACGTCGACAAACTCGTGGAGGACCACTTGGCAGTGCAATCTCTCATCAGGGCATATCAGGTGAGTAGCGGCTATCATCAGTTTCATACAAGATACAGAATTCCCTAGGCCTTTCTGGATGTACGTTGTTTAATTCTCTTCCAAATGCCAACTGTTTCCTTCCTGCTTTGGGCTTACAGAGGCAAACATCAAGTATATAAGAGAAAAGAAGCAAGAGTACCCTAGTTGAGCAAATCTCCCACTTTAATGGTCTGTCTCACAGTAGCTCATGATTTCTGTTCTTAAATAGGCAAGTCAGTATGTGGGCATGGAAGGGAGTTGCACAGTTGGTGAGAAGGATGGATTGTTGTCCCATCTCAGTTAATAACTGAATACTGTAAAAAAGTAAATCCATAGGAATTAGAGACAGAAGCCAGATAGTAGGGAAGAGGAACTGAGTCTGCAAAATGTGGGTGAGACAAGAACATTTTATCTAAATTCTGCCAGCAAGCAGACAGCCTCATCAGATACATTCAGCAGGAATGGGCTCTTTTTTTCCTGTCTTTCTCCATCTCAGTACAGTAACCAAAGATTTTCCTCCATGCCCACCTCTGTTGGGGAACCCGAATTCAGACCTTAAAATTTGAGTACACTGAGGGGGAAAGTTACAGAATAATAAACCAGGTAGCTTCCTTCTAGGACCTCCAATGAGAGTCCAGGCCCCACACTAGCATGGATGCAACAGTAGTATCTAGGGAGCTTGCCCTGAGCTCTTGTTTCTTCTGTTTCATGCTTCCGTTTCCTGGTGGTGGTTGTTCAGAGAGGTCCTGGGTCCTTAGTCTTTTTCCTCCCATTGTCTTCAATGAGGGCTCTTCTCGGGACACACGTGCTGACATGGGAAGGAGATGCACAGAACGCTATTAATGCTGTAGCCCTAAGCATATGCTGTACACAGTTGGCTACAGTACATTTTTAGTTTGGTTTCCAGTGACTTCTCACCTACTGTTCTTCTCAAATTGTTAGCAAGAACTGTGATAGAAATATTCCTAACTAAAAAATAAAAGCAAATAAACCCATTAAACTTGAAGGAATTTTCTGAGTGTGGTGGCACACATGTTTAATCTCAGCACTTGGGAGGCAGAGGCAGGTGGTTCTCTGTGAGTTTGAGGCCAGCCTGGTCTATATAGGGAGTTCCAGGCCAACCAGGGATAATACGTAGTAGGCACTATCTCAAAAATAAATATACTTTTTAAAAATTTTAAAATGGAAGGGATTTCCCCACCCCACCTTGTTTTTTCCGTGGTGCTGGAGTTTGAGTGCAGCACGTGGGTACACAAGTGGTTCATAGGTGCTACCACTGAGCTCTTCCCCAGCCTCATGTGTGTGCACCACATGTGCACCTGGTGCCCATGGAGGCCAGAAGAGGGCATTAGGTCCTCTGGAACTAGAGTTACAGATGGTTGTTAGCCTCCATGTAGATGCTGGGAAGGGAACCTGAGTCATCTGGAAGACCAGGGCTCTTTAAGTGCTGAGCCACCTCTCTAGTGTTTTTTTAAATAGCTAGATCAAGTGCTTTAAACCAGTGCAGTAGTGGGAGATTCTGTTCTATGTGTGACCTACTCTGTGCAGAGTTAGTGCCAGAACCTTTAGTTCTTCACACACTTGGATATATAAAGGCAAACCTTCCCTTAATAAGATGACACCTTGTTTATACTCTTTCAGTAACAGCTAACACCTAAGCCTTCATATTCTTCCTCTGGGAAATAATGTTTTTACAGTAAAGTAATAATTAATATATAGATTAATATTATAGTTAATCTAGAAAAACTAAGGATCCCCAAGATAAAGTTCATTTTTAAATATCCAAGTTTATTATAACTTGAAATATACTCCTTTTTTATCCTTGTAAAAGGGCATTTATGTACAATAATACTTTGGGTTGTTTGGGGTTTTTTTTATTCATCGATTATTTTTGTGTGTGTGTTTTACTAGAAATTGAACAGAATCTCACTAAGTTGTCCAGGCAGTTCTTGAATATTTGATTCTCTGCTTCAGTCTTGTAAGTGGCCTAGATTATAGGTCTTGTGCTTCCAGGTCTAGCTCACAGCAATGCATTTTAAAATGAACTGTTTTAAACTGTTTTTTAAGAACTAATTCTGTTTTATGGGTTCACTGAGCTATGTTCTTTTCTGAGGAAGATTTGTATGTAGTATAATTCTTTTACCACTTCCCGCAGCTTATTGGATTTGCTTAATGACTTGCTTGTGTTATTATTCCAGGTCAGGGGTCACCACATTGCAAAACTTGATCCTCTCGGAATTAGTTGTGTAAATTTTGATGATGCTCCGGTAACTGTTTCTTCAAACGTGGGTGAGAATTAATATGTAAATGCTAATTTTAATGTAATTTTACTTTTTTTTTGCCCCTTCCCTCTTTTTTTTCTCCTGTCCTTTTGTGTGTGTCCTTCCCTCTCATTGTTGGCCCACTCATAGATACGAGGGCACCATGTAGCACAGCTGGACCCCCTGGGGATTTTGGATGCTGATCTGGACTCCTCCGTGCCCGCTGACATTATCTCATCCACAGACAAACTTGGTGAGGGTCTGCGAGCAGTCAGCTGCGCTGCTTGAGCTCCTCTCGCTGTGCACAGCCTGTGCTAGCCAGGACATCCAGACAGGAGGGAAGGCTCTCAAGTTTCCTTCGTTCTGATCACTTGAAATTCAGCAGGAATGTAGCCTTAGTGTGTTTTAAGGGTATTATTTTTATCTCAATTTTCAGCCAGATTGTCCTAGTCTCAATCTGGAAAATAAAATTTCAAAGGAAGGGTCCGTGGCACTGAGAAAACCTAGCTCACTGCTTCAGAGAATAGCTCTTCTGGCTCCAGCTCTCCATATCCTGCACAACACTGCCTTTCGTAAGGCCACTGACCAGGCTCGCAAGGCTGCTGTTGTCATGGCTGTCCCATTCCGGAATATGGTGGGGCCTGCTTGGGCTGGAGGATGTTCATATCCCTAAGGAGCGAATTCCAGAGCAAGGTGTGCAGTTTGGGTTTCCTGATTTGTAAATGCTGGTGATCACACTGAGGAAACTTTGGAAGGCGTTCCCTACAGTGTCAGGAGGCCAGGGCCTTTGGGAGGTGCATGTGTGGAGGACAATTGGGGTTTTGTCACTGTTGCCAGAAGATATGCCAACCTGTACTGGGTCCTCCTTGTGAGGTGAATGGACATTGCGGTGCTCACTGCAGTTGCTTCCAGAGTTAATCTGCTTATGTCACCATGCTGCTAACCTGTACTAAAGAAATGATGATGTGACTAATAATGAAATGTCCAGAGTGTTCACAATAGGCATCTTGCATGCTAATGAAATCAATGATCACCTCCTTGCTAATATCCTTGGGGAGAAGATAAAATTAGTGTCCTTGCAGGTACTACCCTGTGGTCTTACAAGTGTTATTGAATTGTAACCAAGGATTTGGATATTAATCAGCTCCAGTTGGACATCAAACATTATTGATGTTGTAATTGGGTTGACAGTTTATAAATTGTTTAATTTTCAAGAACACTCATAGATACCATAGGATTTCCTCCATATATATACCCTTTAGCCAATTTAGGAAATGTGTAGAAAACAAACCTTTTTCTTGTTTATCAATCCCCCCAAAATTTTGTGACCTCAAAAGGTATAAAAAGGTGCTGGGGAGCTCACTTAGTGGGTAAGAGTACTTGCTGTGTAAGCATGAGGACTTGAGTTCAGAGCCTAAGCTCCCATGTAAAAACCCCATGGCAACATGAGCCTGTGGAAGAGTGGAGACAGGAAGATCACTGGGGCTTTGTTGTTAGCCTAGCTCCAGGTTTAGTGAAAGACCCTGTCTCAAGGAAATAAGGCAGAGATGCCCAGTGCCCTCCACTGGTCTCTGTGCAAGTGCACATACACAAACTGAGTGGTTTAGATAGACTTCTCCCCACTGAGTAAGCAGTCAGTACCAACTGTGTTTCATCTCATTTAATTCAGTTCTGATAGCTGGTTCCATAAAAAGAATTTGTTTATGGTGAACTCTAGAACAGAAAGTTTGGAAAGGATTAGGGTTTTCTGATCCATGTTGGGTGAGAGGAGTTCTAGCTCCTGTGACTGGCTTTAGGGAAGAAATGGTGAGCCAGGAACTATGGACAAAAACCACTTGAGGGTGGCTAGATGGTCCAGCAAGTAAAGGTGCTTGGTGCCAAACCTGACAGCCCGAATTTGGTCCCTGGAGCCCTCATGCTAGAAAAAGATAATGGACTCCTGCAGGTAGTCCTCTGACTTCCACACTCTCACTGTGTGCATACATACATACAACACACAAACAAATGTAAAAGACAACCTCACTTCCATCTACCTAGAGATGGAATCAGGTCCAGGATGGGACCTCCCTTCCCAAGACTGCCTCAATCAGTTTATGTTCAAATAGCTTTTTGTTTGTTTTGTTTTTCAAGAAAGGGTTTCTTTTTGTAGCCCTGGCTGTCCTGGAACTCACACTGTAGACCAGGCTGGCCTTGAACTCACTGAGATCCGTGTACCTCTGCCTCCCAAGTACTGGGATTAAAGATGTGCACCACCATCACCTGGCTTCAAATAGCTTTTTTTAAGGCAGAGTCTCACTATATAGACCAGGCTGGCCTCAAACTCAGAGAGATTCACCTGTCTCTGCCTTCCAGATGCCAACTGGGATTAAAGTTTGTGACACTATCCCAAAATGTTCAACTAGCTTACAGAATCCAGCAAAACACTTGCCTATATTTACCCCCTTATTATAAAAGCTATTTTAAAAATGTAAATAATCAGTCAGATGAAGAGAAGCTGAGGCTAGTCTGGAAGTCTTGTGCTTTGTTCTGTGGCGTACACTACTGTCTTGGCATGTCGACAAGTATTTGAGCAGCTGCCATGTTTGTAGTACAGAAGCTACAGAACACTGTCCTCATGAGCTTTTATGGAGACTGTATTACGCAGGTGTGATCAAAGCAAGGACAGTCATGCTAAAATGCAGTTGGACACCAAGGGTGTAACAACGTTTACCAATTTCTCAGCATTTCTTCCTCTCAGGCATAGGGCAGGACTCTTCTGCAATGAGGCTACCTGCTGTCAGAGGGTACATCAAGGTCAGCAGCTGTGATAGGAAGACGTGGGGAAATTTAGAACTTCTTGAACGCACTTGAGTAACAGAAACTCTAGTTTCTGTGGCCTTACTTGGGGAGAGAGTTATGAGGCAGAGACCATGAACAAAAACATGGATATAAAATAACCCAGGAGGAAAGTGGAGAGAAAGCCCTTGAATCTGACCATAGACTTGGGTGTGAGTTTAGCCTTGCTCTGGGGTTCAGCTGTGAAAACTTGGTCCTAAGCTGCAGTTTCTGCACAGTGCCTCCTTCCGTCCATGTCATCCTGTAGTGTGAGAACTCTTGTTCACTATCTCCCAGTTCTTCCACTGCATAGCAATCTAAAGCCTCTTCATCCTCCTGTTTGTATCCCATTGGTTCTGTGACTACTCCAGAGACCTGAAGGGTCTCCTCCATGTGCTTGGGTCAGGGTAAGCTCCTGACTGTGGCCTTCGTACTCTCTTTGTGAGCAGAGACCTTCCAAGAACCTCCTCTTCTCTCTATCAGTCAAGCTAGAGACCAGTTAGGTCTAGAGAGAAACAGATGAGAAAACTGGCCTTTTTCTATACCGCTGGAGTCTGCATTAAAATGTACCTTTCTCAGTTTGCACATTAGAATAATTGGGGATGCTCGAGCTGATAGCTGACTGTAAATCAAGGCAAACTGTGGGGATCCCAGCCTAGCAGTCTTTGAAGGGTAAAAAACCTTAAGGAATTCCATCAAAGCTCAGCCTACTGAGTCCATATTGCACTAGTCT